AAAAAGGTAGGGGGGGGGGGTAAGAGGGCGGTGGTGGCTTTGTTTTATCTTTATGTTGCACAAAACAATAATTAAGTCTAATATAAGATCTCTCCAAAAATGATAGAATTGACATAATGTACAAAACACGCAAAAAGATCATTAACAAAACCAAATCTAAAACTGCTTTGAGCCAATGTATGGTTTTTTTAAAAACAATCTTTACAAAATGGAGAGTTCACCGCAAACTTGAAGTTTATGGTTTTATAAATGAAGGTTAGAAGGATATTAAACTGTTTGTTTCTTTTAGTATAATTAGTATAATGAGGAAAAACAAATGGGTGGGTCCTCTGTTTCCCTCCCCCACCCCCCCACCCCCCAACCTTCTTATTTACCGACTATTTTTTTGTTTACACAAAAATTATCTAAACCAACTTATTTCTTCCAAAGTGTTTCATTTATCCAATCACAAGATAAATACATATTTATTTTTCATCTCACATTGCTTTTATTTTTATGTTTTGTCTTTCATCTTTCTTTTCATTTCTTTTCCCGTCCTTTCTTTCTTTCTCCATTCCATCTTTTTTCCTCTGTTTTTCCCGTTCTTTTTTTTTTTTTTGGGAACAAATTATAAGAATTTTATTAAATTGTCTAAGCTTTAGAATTCCCAGCAAAATTATCCGCATTGATAATGGGACAATGGGTGAAAAGATTTAAACAGCAAAATGCCACATTACTTTCAGAATATCAGATGTGATCTCACCTTTTTAGAAGCAACAGTTCAATACAAGAAAAAAGTAATAAATTTCTATGCAGAGTCATATACAGTGAAGTGGGGAGGGGCAGGAAAAATTCCTGTAATTGCCCCTGATTCTGTCATTTAATAAAACCCCCTAGAAAGTTGTATTTGTTCAGAAGAGGCTAAATGTCGTCTTCTAAATGAATCTGGATGAATAAGTGTAAATGAATGCAGAGCAATGTGTTTATACCTGAACAGTATTGCAGATATCTTGGCATTGAGGATCTCCAGCTCTACACTCAGCACCAGGGAGTTCAGCTTGCAGGGGACCCTAGATAGATAAATATAAAGATTGATAGATAGATAGATAGATAGATATATTATATATAGACAGATACTTAGATATAGATATATTTGTGTATATCCATTAATTTATTATATATGAATAGATATTGGTGGAAAGACAGATTGATGGTAGGAAGGATAGATCCACAGATATAGATAGATAGATATATGATGGATAGATTAATAGAGAAATAGAGAGATAGACAGACAGCCAGCTAGATGAATAGATACATATATATATAAATATGTAGATAAATATAGATAGATGATAGATGGATATACATATCTATACGTTAGATAGATAGAAAGAAATAAAGATAGAAGTAAAAATGGATTGATATATGACCCTATTTAGGGTAGATGTCCAGTAGTTTATATTTCTAATCAAAAACAGATTAGAGGCTTCAGGGGACTACTAGGGACCAATTAGATAACAGCAGTAGTCATTTCTTAGAAATTGACGGAGGGGGAGGGGGAGGGG